TTTTTTGTTTCTTTTTCTATACTGGCGCGCTCAAAGTGCAATAAATATGTGTATATTTCTTTTTGTTGCTTTGTATAAGTATTATTGTTGCTTTTCTTTGATTTTATTATTTGTTGATTTATGGCTTAGCATGTTTTCAATTGTAAAATGCGAAAATTTTCAAAGAAAAATTGCATGTAAATTATTATTTTTCAATCGAATGGTTTGAATGTTTAAAAAAAAATTAATTGTAGTAAATAATAATTTTTGTTTTAAATTGTTCACGAAAGTTCACAGCTTTAAGCACAAAAAAATATTGCAAACTTATTTTGATTAACTTTTGGTTACTTTCAAGCACAAAAATATTTCAAATTTATATAAAAAATAAATTTATTTATTTATTTATTTTTATTATTTAATTATAATATTTTTTAATTAATTATCCACAAAAGTTATGTTATTCAAACACAAAAAAAATATATAATTCTAGTTAAATGGAAGTTAAAAAATTAAATTTATTTATTAATTTATTTTAATTATTGTAGTTAATTTGACTTTTATGAACTATTGAAATTCAAACACAATAAATCCTGTCTCTTATACACATCTAGATGTGTATAAGAGACAGTTATTTATTTTATTTTAAATTATATTGATTTTTGTGAAATTAAGAAAATTATATAAAGTTAAAAAACATAATTTATTTTAAATAAATGTATTAAATTGCTTTTATCAAATTTTATAAATTAATTTTGTTTTGAATTAAATTAAATGAAAGTGTGTTRACAATTTCAACAGTTAAACATTAAATTAATTTTAATTTTAATTAAAGAAATCATACAAAGCGAACAATTATCTTTGTTTACTTATTTTGTATGTATACATATATATGTTTTGCATAAAATATTTGTATTTTCTACTACAAATTACATGTTTTACGATTTCACGCCAAAACAGCTTTTGAATATATTTAATATTTTATTTAAGCACTCATTTGACCATGTATGCATTACTTTTCCGGCTACAATATTCTTCGAAACGCTAATTTTCTGAGTGGTTTTATTTTATAATTTTTTGGCATTTTGATTTTTGTTTTTGATTTCCGTATTTTTTCTAATTTACGCTTCTTTTAATTTTTTGTTTTTCAAGTTTTCTTTTGAGATAAAGTCAGTTGTTTTACAAGCAACACGCTCTTGTTGCCTTGCTCAATTAATTATAATTTGTTATATTTTACAAAGATTCCCTTCTTTCGCTCAATTCCGTTTTGTGTTTTACTTTCTACTATAGTTTTTGTTGTTTTCTTCACCACTACTAAATCACACTTAGTTTCTATATAATTTCACTTATTATTTAATTAAAAATTTCACTGCAATTAGCGTGTAGGGTTTCGCCTTAATTAGTAGCTTTTTTGCTGTTGTTGCACAAACCGTAAAGGGCAAAATGCCAGAATGCAAACACACACACGCGCACTCGTGCTAAATGTGTCACGCTTGTAATTTTTTATCAGCACAAAAAATCTTAGTAATAATTTATAACAAAAAAACAACCGGAAAAAAAAAACAATAAAAATATGATTATACTTTTATAATACAGCGCTCTACTGCTGACCGCTATTATACACATCTAGATGTGTATAAGAGACAGCGGGTGTGCTGTACTTAGACCCATGTACAGTATTGTAGTAAATAATAATTTTTGTTTTAAATTGTTC